ACGGATATTGCGATTGATTGAAGAAGGACTTTGCATCATAAATTAAAATTTCACTTAAACAAACGTTTAAAATCATTATAATATGAAACTGTACCAGATGTTTTCTTACATCTGTAGAACAAGATGTGTTGGCCAGGGTATCTCTTCACAACTACAGAAATTATAATACTGTTTTATCATATTTGTTTGTTAAACTCATAGCTTCTGCAATTTGCATATTGTAATATCAGTAATATTTCAATTAACTGTGCAGCCCAAACCACATCCATAGAAACCTCTGAAACTGCTTTTCTTCTGTGCATTTTTACTAGATGTTTATACTCTAAACACTTACAGTTTCTCATTAACGTAACTAAATGCATTACTTGGGTCATAACCTCCCCCAATAGAAGCATATTTTTTTGGTAACATACAGAAGAATCAGAGAAGTGGATTATTCTGCATGAGTGGTTTGAGTTGAGGTTTCCAAGTTGACAAGCTACAAATCTTTCACAACTACCTTTCAAGCCCACAGAAAGACTGCACATTCAAAAGATAGATGTTTAGTCATAGAGTTTCTTTAAATGTTAAAGTTGCATTTGTCATCTGTGTTCTGCTTGCAAAATAAAAAAGACTTCAAAAGATTTTGTTAAGTTAAGACATCTTTTAAAGACATTTACAGCTGCAAATCAGTGGTACAGCTGTGCATCTGTAGCGCCAAACTACCACAACAAAAACCACTATTTCCGGACCCAATGTAATACTATTGGCCGGATTCTACCGTCAGTTAAATGACAATAAATATGTGGAATAAACACAAGCTGATTTCTCATTCAGTGCAATTTACTTCACTATTTATGTCTTTGTTTCATTAAAACACAATTAAACAATCATAAAGCTTAGTCCACAAGCACAAAGAGGATCCGAAATTCTGTTTATCATGTTATTTAAATACACATACAGATATATCTGCAGCTAATACAGGCCTGCTAAAGAGGTGGGTGATAGTAGAGAGAGAGAGAGAGAG